TCGAGGATTAAAATTCTTAGGAAGATTTTAATTCTCTCTAAATAAACCGAGAGAAACAGTCAGTGAGTTCACACTGGCCCTAAGAGCCCTAAAAATACGGTTTTACGTTGACGTATGACATTTCTCTTGAGAGAAATGAATTCTCTCGAGTTTGAAAATAGCCCCCCTGTAGGGATGTTGCGATACCAGTAAAGTATCGATACTGGTATCGAAAGGAGTATCGGAATCAAAGTATCGATACCGGTATCGAAAGGGTACCGGAACGAAAGTATCGATACCGATATTGGAAAGAGTACAGAACAACCAAAAAAAAAAAGGTCGCCGACATATCATACCATAAAGTGATCCTACAATATACTTTTGTTCGTATTGTGAAGGTCAAAACTAGTAAAATATTGAAACGAAAGTAGTAGTATAGAAACAAAAGTAGTACTCATATAAGTAAAGTATCGAAAGCAAAGTATCAGATACTAAATTACCCGGTATCGAAAGAATCGATACCAGTATTATATCAGTAGTATCGCAACATCCCTAGTCACCTGGCGTATGTGCTACAGGCAGGGTGATGATAGAATCTGTTTTTTTTTTTTGTGGAGCTCCGTTGAGCTAAATCTAGTTTGTTTGATTTTACGTTTATTTAAAACGTTCATTTTAAATACAGTTAATTAATTTGTGAAGAAAGTAAGTGTTTTAATAATTGGTTTCTCGTCCAAGAACCCCACCCACAAGAGAGAAAACTACATAGGGCAAAACCGACTAAGTAATCTTGCTTTCATTTCAATAGAATCGGACCAGCTAAAATAATTAGACACCGAAAATTTAATTAAACAATTTGCAAAAATTAAAGCACGAAAAGCTCAATTCACTTAGCTAAAATATTAATAACAATAATTAATACCTGGATATTATATTAATCTTTGAAAAGTGACCTGTTTCATTATTAAAATAATATATTGTTTTGTTTTTATTTGTCGATCAGTTTCGTCCTGTGATATATAAACGAGGATTTTTAATGTTTTAAATATTTTTTTTCTTGTGCTTTTATATCATATATTACATTTGAAACGAAAATACAAAAATTTTTGAGTTGTAATACTGTTAAAATATATTTCTGTTTTCTATAAGTTTATAATTATGTTATGTACCTCAATGGAAAAATACTTGTATGGCTTATACTTGTAAAATATAAAACTGAAAATAAATTTATGAAAATACTTTCTAAAATTATTTTTCAAAAGTGGATAATAATGCTTAACTTTACCCGGTTAAGAAGATAAACAAAAGTTACAACGTAACAACAATGCGATATAGAGTTTCCATTAATTAAACGTTTTTATTCATAGTGGGTCTGTTATAAACCATTTAATATTTAATGAGTCAACTTACCAACTCGTATTAACTTATTTTAACTCATTAATAACTTTTCGATATGATCCGACGAACTCAGCAAACTTTTTCTTCCTCTCCAATCTCATGGACCGTTCGAATCATCTAACAATATAATTATTTCCTCTCGACGTGTATATTTACAAACTATTGTGCTCAGTAGTTACCAAACTTCGCCAATCCATTTAGAAACTTTTAACGATTCGCTTTACGTCTGCTTTTTGTGGCAGTCCTTAATTATCGATTTCTAATAATGCAGGATGTTTTGTTGAGCCCGAAAGGTTAAATTAAAGGAAGAACCGATGGATTCCTGAAGGATTTCGGCTTCTAAGAGATCGGCCCCTAATTTGCGGATTAGCTCCTTGTGTTCTAAGCAGATTCGAATTAATTGTGTTTAGGTTAATAGAGGTCGAAGAGCAGTGATGTGGTTATTTTAGGAGATAAAGGCTTAAAGTCACACGCTTGGAGCTTTTACAAGTTCTAAGGGGTTATCCTATATAAATATTACAATAAATGGTCTTATTAATAGTATCTTTTGTACTTAAATAGTAAATGAACTAAGTTTTAGAGGTAATTAATATATATTGGCATTTCCTTTGGTTTTTCCTGTAAATTAATATACAGGGTGTTGCATTAGTGCGTAAATTGTTCAATATTTTAATTTGTGTTATAGACACAAAAACAAGTTTAAAATAAAAGTTATATGGACTTGAAAAATACATATTGTAAAAATAGTTTTTGAATATACAGGCAAATAAAAATGGATGTTTCTTAACTAGAACACATTTTATTTTACTTTTAGAATGGGTTGGTAATACTGTATTTAACCCTAGAATGTTTTTTAAAAATATTACAATGTTCCAAGCAATTAATTTTTTTTGAGAATTATGCAGACCACAAATTAAATTATCAGTTTTCGTTGATTTCAAAATTGTTTAATAGGTATATTGATATGAAGTGTGTGTATGCGGGTTATTATAATTTTTTATAATTTAATTTTATGTATCTTCATACACAACCCCAATCATTAATTCTCTATCACAAATACCAGAAAGTTTTAGGAATTTATTTTTTTATGCCTGGCGCCACTGTGTCTGTGATAAAAAAAATATTGTAATTTATTATTTATGAAAATTTAATTATTTACTCTCTTCAGAAAAAAAATATTGTTATTAAATTTGTATTTATCCTGTTGTTTTGGAGTTTTATTGATTAGAATTTTAGTATACCCCAATAAAATTTACCCTTTATGAATTTATCTATTAAAAAAAAGAAACACAGAATTAACGAAAAATATTTAAACAAATTTTTATTACATACTAATAATCATTGAAAAGTATCAAAACGAGCTTGATCCTCTTATAAAAATTCTTAATAAAATACCTTTCATTTATACGAAATCTCATTCATACAGAAAACTACTTAGATACTAGTTAAATTAAAGAAGATTACTGCTTAAATAAATTGCAAGTTTTTGGTTTGGTTTTGCGAGGCGCGAGGAAAGCTTGTCCGATCGGCATCGAAAGGTAATTACGATCTGTGGTCACGTTTTAAAAGAAACACCACAGATTTGTTTACGCTAATATTAGTTTCGTCCTGCAAGTTATTTATAGTAAACACTGGCCGCCTTTAGTTGATTTTTATTTAACAAATTGAAATAAACAAGAAATTAAAAGAAATAGTAAGTGATTGTTTAATTTTAGAAGTTTAATAATTGCCTGATACCTTTTTTTTTGGTAGTGTTCGTGTTTGTGAAAGTTTGTTATCTTCTTGATATTTTTTAGGCTATGTTGACATGTTTAGGGGTTTGTGTGGGCCGCTTCCTTGAGTATTGAGTCACTGAAGCATATTGGTTTACCGGTTTGTCCCTACTTAATTAAATATTAGAGGCAAGTCAAATAAATCCTTGTCTATTATCAAAACCGTACTTTCCTTTGCTTTTATTAAAGGTATATTTCTTTGTTAACACCGACAAGGACACAGCAACAAATCTGTATACAAACATCGTACATCACATGCGGTGCATAAATCAATTTAAATCTTATCGGATATATTTGAATGGGGTATATTTTCCGGTAACCGTGAAGTTTGTGTGCTTGAAACTTCACACGCAAGGTTAGTGTAATGACGTATGGCGGTATTATTAGCAAATATTTCAGCGAGATATCTGCCCGAACAACCAAAGCGGAAATGGGATGATACAAATTATCGTCGATTGCAGGTCGACGCCAGTAATTGAGGTGTACTCAATTAAAACAAAAATAACTTAGGTACTCGATTTAAAAAAGGGGTTAAATCAATAGAAACATTTTAGGAACCATGTTAACAAATATGAAGAAGATTAAGCCACAATTGAAATCATTACATAGGAGTAAATGATATAAATGTTTCTACTCCCAATAACTATTAAAGTATTAGGCAAACTAGAGAAGTCATTAAAACAAAAACTAATGAAATACTCTTAAACGTACTTAAAATTAAAATTACAATTTTTGATATATCTTAAAAATAACTATTTCAAACAAGGAATATTTTTAAATATGTTGGTGAAAGCACTCGTTAAACGTTTTTATAAAAGAGATCAGTTTATTATTCAGTTACTCTAAAATCTTTAAATTAACTATGTGTTCTGGACTACCTAATTTTCTAAATCAAAATAATTTTTTAACTAAAACCCAGCAAATCATGTTTTTGAAAAAGTTAAAAATTAGAGTATGCTAAAAGTACACTCAAAGCTGCTAATAACAGTCCTTTCTTTTATCCTGTGTCTAGTATCCAGCTTCCTGTGTCCTGCTTCCAATGAAACAATGTGGTGATATTTATGTTCATTAAAAAAGGTTCACCTACCTAAACATGTACAAATATGATCATGTTTACATAAAAAAAGCTTTAACATTCAAAAACATTTATTATAAAAAGAAACTATATGCATAAATAACTATTAACATAACGTTATTATAAATAAATAAGAAATATTCGAAATAAGTGAGGTTAAGTTTGTTTTTATAAAAGTGTTGAATTTAAAACATTAATAGAAAATGAAGGGTACAAGAAAAAAGATGAATGTCACAAAAATGAGATTCTGAGAAAGTAGGATTTTAAAATCTGAAGACTTTTACAATACTTGTCTGAAAATATATTTGGCTCTAATATTTTTTTCTCAATAATTACTTTGTTACCAATTATTGAGAGCACAGGTTTATTTTTGCAGCTGTAAAAAAATATTTGGAGTCATATGACATAGGTTCGAGTGGGGAAATGGAGTAATTTATCATAAACTTATGTGCTAGTAATTGTATTACTTATTGAAACGAAAGAGCATACAACTTTAATTTTGGTTATATAAAAGTAGTACCAATGAAAATAATAAACAAATTCTTATACAAAAATATACAGGTCGTTCTAGATGTAGTAGTACAAAAAAATTCTTAAGATTAGTAATAAGTTAAGACAAGCTCTTAATAAACAAATAATCAAAATAAGTACCTTTTTATTAAAACTAAGGCACATAATGGTAAATTTCGGTAGAACATATGTTATAATATAATAAAAAAACATACAGCGAACGTCAAAAAGTTAACTTGAGTATTGTAAATTATAACCTTTAACATAAATTAAGCGTCTTCATCTTCGGTAGTGTGGTTATAAGGTAAGTTTTCAAAGTACTTACATGCATTGGGCTTACAAAATCTTTTAAGTTCTTGTAGGTCTTGAAACTTTTTCAAAAATATAGGCAGTTTCTCGTTGTATTTTAAAGAAGGTACTTCAAATTGGCAAGGAGGTAACAAATCAATATTTCTTGACTTTCTTCTAGGCGGTATCACTACAGAACTCGTGCAAGCTCCGTTATATGACTTACGATATTCTATCATCCTCGGCATACCACTATGTACTGTACGTTCCTTCATTGGTCTGCTTTTAAATGGACACATTTTATAGAAGTAATTTGCAAAGTGATTTATTCATGAACGAAAAATATTTTGATCTTCAAGTTAATTACACAAGAAGGACTAGGTTTACTTCTACCACTCAGAATTTGCTCATTCCATCCACCCGGAAGTTCTTTTGCTACCTTTTGATTTATTAGACCCATCTTGCTATGGTATTCCAGATAGCTGTCTAGATAGCTGTGTCCCCGACCTGGAAACATCATCTTGATATTCCTTAAGCGTTTTGTCCTATGGACAACAAAATGCAGTAAACGAAATGAAGTATAATTCTTATTTTGGCCGCTACACGAATTGCAGAAAATGTCTAACTCTTCGATACGCTCATCCAAGAAATGGAAAATAAAATGAAATAGCATAGATGCCACTTCATCTGAGCCCTTCTTTCCAGCAGTTTCCGTGTAAGTATAAAAATATGAAGCAGAGTTAGACAGCACATGGATATTAAAGGAATAAAAAGAAAGTTGGCGTTTATAATATACATCATTAGTGCTGATATTGGGCACTGGCAAATTTTTTTGAAAATCCATTGTTATTGCCTCATTTTCTGTACTTTTTTATGAATTTAAACGGGCTGCTCTCTTTCTTTTGTAAAAGGTTTCAGCTTTTAGAAGGTGCAGTTTATGTTCTGTTTCCAAACGAGATAAAAGAGCTTTTTGTGAAGGATCGTAACTTTTTCTCAGGATTTTGTTGCAAAAACATGTTGAACATCTTTTTCACGTTAAAATCTTCCGGTAAATATACACCTTGGAAGTCATGAAGACTGTAATGTGAATTTCGGCCTTTAAACGAAGCAATATGGTCAAAAACGGCAGTGGATATTTCATCTGGGAGACGATTTTTTCGACTGGAATGTTGACCTCGCCCATCGTGTTTAACATGTCCAAAAGTGGTTAACTGCTGTTGGATATTCTGAAGTCGTTTCGCAGATATTCCATGCATAGAAAGCATAGCTTTATAACATATTGGCACTTCTATAGCTGTATTATTCCATTGAATACGAATTTTGTATGTGTACGAATATGAGTGATATTCAATATCTTCATCATTATTCTTTCTACTTCGGTGTTTAACGGGGACATGTGAAATTAAGCCATCCAGATACAAATTTTGTTACTCATGATATTTAAGTTTATTAAACTGTTTAATTATTTGCAACCTCTCTCCTTCGGTGACATTTTCAAAACACTTAAATCTAGTACAATTACAACTTGGGCCTGTTTCGTGGCTTCGTAGTTATAATAACTTAGCAATGTTCTTCATACGTCCATGAGACGTTTCTTAGACCTTAGAGGAAAAACTGCAGTATCAACTTCAATGTCTTCGTTACTCATTGCGAAATATTTTGATTGCACGTGGCAAGAGAAAAAAAACAGCATACATCAGGTGGTCGATTAAACGGCACATGAACTACTGAAATAGTTAAATAGCCCGTAATAAAATAGGAAAAAGCATCGAGAGGAAAACAAAACAATGCGCGATTGACATATTTATTCAACTTTTTTTCCCAGTTCGCCGGGACGTTCATCTTTTTTGCCCTGTGCGGTAAAATTTAGATTCGCTGTGGCTTGCTACTCTCATCTAATTTGATTGGTTTCAATATTTTATCGGATTCTTACAAGATTTTAGCATAATATTCCCGCTATTAGCTTATAATTGGAATTTTTGGACTTTCATCTTTTGTTCCCTGTACCCTTCAAATAATTATCACCAATATCCAATAATAATTCCAATTTGTTTACTTTTATAAGATGTTTTTTTAGTGTATAAAGATCTCTTGCATCTGCAAATATTATTAAGTAACTTTATATTTAATTTATAATTTTCTAACTTCCCTAACACAAATTCATTAGTTTTCATCAGGTAAAGTGTAGGCGAACAACAAAGCCAATATAATCGTGAAAAAACTTTCTCTCTCTCTCGTTTTATCGCTCATTAAGATCGACTACAAGCCCTTCTAATGTAATTGAATTCTCTGAGAATTAAAAAAAATTGGACGAGTTTGAAAACTTGAAATTGAGTCGGGTTTTATTGAAAATCGATCCCAGCTTGTTCGTCGTACGAAATGGTTGTATTGACGTTGAATGGGATATAGTTAGGGTATATTTATTATCCATTTAGTTTTGGCGTTGAAGAGAACTCCCGTAAAACGAATTTAGTATGATTGTCGTTCTTGTTTTGTGTTTATTACGAAGATATCAACAAGAAAACTAGTAAAAGAGAGTTATAGAATATCATCAATAATCATAAGAGAATATGTGAGGTGTTTGGTTTAAAAGTAGTATTCTTCCTACATTCCTATAATATTAGCAAGCCACTAAACCCCCAGTAGGCGATGGTAGCCAATAAATTACTAAGTAACGTGCATATTTGGCAGTTCTAAATGCTAGATTTCAAGTTCTACTTACCTTCTGACTAGTGAACACAAATAGGTTAAGCGTTAAGCATAAATAAGGTAAGGTGGAGTAAGTGGGCCATGATTTTACAACGTAGGCGAGTGACGTTTGACGTATTACCTACAAAAATAACACATTCCGTTGAAATAAAAAGTTTAAATAATTTTAGTTGTAAGAAATAATATTTACTTTAAAATTTAGCATATAAATAGTTACCATAGTTTATCATTTTATAAGCAAAAAAAAATATTTTTTTAATGTCATGTGGGCTCAGTTGCCCCTTAAAGAGGGGGTAACTGGATCAGTATGGTCTAGATTTCGTATGAACTTTTGTAAATTGTGTTGGGGCATCTGGGTTTGGTGCAATTAAATTACAGATATTTGAGTTTCGGTCAATGTAAGGGTATTGCGTAAGGGAATGCAAGTAGGAAAAAACATTGAATAGGTCAAATAAATTATATTTGAGGGTTACACTGTTAATTTTATCAGTTTATTAAAAAATTTAAAAATATAAATATAAACTGTAAGTAATAAAAATTTGGAATCAACCAAACAAACTAAAATTACTTAAGTACTTATATTTTCATGTTAAAAAGTATTAATTTAACAGTCTTAATGAACGTTTGCTAAATCGCCTAAGTCATTAGTAAAACTAAGCATATCCTTAAATCGGACAGTGTTATTCATCAAAGGCTTTGACAATTTTCTCACAATATCTGTACCTAGTATAAAAGCTTCCTCTGTAGTTTCCGTAAATTTCCACGATTGATTTTGTCTTTTGCAAAATATTACGTCGTAGCTATCTTTTATTTTCTTTAAAACTTTTGCAACATACAGTCTAAAAGATTGAGGATGTAACAGCTATTTCTGTCTCTACTTCTGATATTAAAGTCGTCACTGTAGGTGTGGTGGCTAATACTGATTGAGCTGCAGCAGCAGATGTTGCAGGCCTGTCTAAAAGCATGGGCATGTAGTCTCTGGCCATGGTAATAACTCCTGTTACATTTTGCTGTGCAGTGGCTGTGGATGTACTAGATTTTATTGGAGAAGTAATTTTAACTTCTGACTGGGTAATGACTAAGGTTGCTTCTTCTTTTGACTGCGTAGTAGCTGAAGGTGTGATGACTATTTCCGGCTGGTCAACCCCTGGATGGAGGAGAGTTTTGTTGTATCTCTTTAAGTCATCTGGTTTAAACACTGTTAGAGGAATTGCCTCCTTGTTGGGTCCTAGCTTGTCAGGATCATAAATGCCAGTGATTTTAAAGCCATTGGTAATATTCGTCGCAAGCAATTCTCGGGAAAGCTTAGTAAGAATTGCTACAAAATCTTGTTTAGGAATTTTCTTTCTAGGATTTTCGCGCTGCCATTTACAAAGTTGCTTGTCCCAATTTGTTTTTAAAATTTTGAACCCAGCAACATCTAGCGGTTGCAAGACGTGTGTCGTGTGAGGAGGTAACTTTAGTATTGTAACTTGATTCTCTTGGGCTAATCTGATTAGTTTAGTTGAAATATGCGTGCTGTGCCCATCGTAAATTAACAATACTGGCCTATCTTCACTTATATTTTTCAAGAAAATATCTCGAAACCAATGATAAAATAAGGTAGTTTCCATCCATCCTCGCGACGTTGCTGAAACTGCAGTTTCTAATGCAGCCTCTGTATTTACCCAATTCTTCATGACATATTTGCCTTTAAAAACACATAGCAGTGGAATCATCTTTCCTACAGCGGAACAACAAAGCAAGACAGATGTATTATCTTTTCCAGATGAACTAGTTTTGCGTTGACTCTTTACACCGATAGCACCAACAATCTTAGTTTTTGACGGATCGTGGCAAAATGACGTCTCATCACAATTGTAAATTTGTGCTGGCTTTCCCTGAAGACCAAGTTCTTCCACGGTTTTCTCTAAGGTTTCAAAAAAATTGTATACTATCCAAGGGTTTATTTGGTCACACCTACTATGTTCAATACTCTGCGGCTTCTTTAGCGATAGACGATGTCTGGTTTTATAAGATATAAACCAGTCTTTACTAGGGCGTTGGTCTTTGAATTTAGTTTGTAAATTATTTTGTCGTATGTACAATTGAACTAGATCCAATACTTCTTCTCTAGATATCCCAAAACCATTTCTATCCATTATTTTGATACAGTTTGCCATTTCATCTTCTGCTGCAGAAGATAAATAAGATAAAACACCACCACCACCTCTTCCTTCTTGTGACGTGAAACCTTTTCCTTGAGTGCCCATTACGTAGTGTTTTAATGTAGAGCGTGGTATGTTGTAAAATGAAGATGCTGCCCAGGTAGTCTTTTTTCCGTTTTTTACATCGTTCAGGATTCAGGGGACCTCAAAACGTAAAAATCCGTCGAAAACTCGAGGTCGAAAAAATCATGATTCCTATACTTTCCTTATATCTGTATACAGATAGGAAAGTAAAAAAGAATATTATTCAATAATTCAAAAGTTTGTTTACTTAAAACATATTTTTTTACGATAAAATCTAGTAGGCCTTTGGATAGAAAATAAATCAAACAATTTCAGTAATAACATTTCTAATCGAATTGTGTTTTTTGTAGAGCTCAAAG